AACACGTAGAAAAATGAATATTTAATAATAAAAAATAAAAATCTAAATAAAAAAATATGAACGTTTAGTGTAGTAAAAACGAACATTTATCATACAATCATAAAATAGCTGAATTATACTTAATAAAATGAACATTTCATAATAATATATGAATACATTATATAAAATGATCATTTAGTACAAAAAATAAACACGTAAACAAATAAACACGTTTTAAAAAATTATGAACATTTAGTATATTAAAAATGAACATGATTTTCATATATTCATATCGGTTCAAATTCATTGTATATAATAATTAACAAAAAATAAAGATAAAATATGTCGTAAAATTATGTTCATTTTAATATACTAATGTTCATTTTGTGCAAAATGTTCAATTTTAAAGTACTATATGTTCATATATTTTTTTATTTACATAACACAAATTCGATTGTAATTATTTTAACTCTAAAAATTTGAATATCTACCTTAAATCTAATCTTGGTTCATCATAGAGACAACAATTATTAGTCTATAACATAATAGATTAGAAATCACAAAATCAACAATTTTACAACATTCACATATTTATGATTTAAAAAAAAAAATAAAAAAAAAAAAAAAAAAAAAAATTATCTCAAGTTTCACGATCGTGACGAAGATGATGATGATGATGATAGCAATGCTACAATGGTGACATATTGGAGAATATCTGAATTAGAAGGACAAAGAAGTATAAAGATTGAAGGAAAGTGATCAAGATAAGAAAAAAAATTAACTTATAAAAAAGGGGGAAAAAAAAGAGGAGAGAGAAAATTTCAAATGAAGAGGCAAACAGAGGAGAGAGAAAATTAATAGAGATAAGAAGGAAGAAGGGAGAGTTAAGATATAAAGAAGGGGAAAAAAAAACGTATGTTCATTTCTGAATCACTATATGTTTATATGGGTGCAGCGATGCAGCTAGCTTATGTGTAGCTAAGAATTTGCGAAGTGGACTGCAATGAATTGGGCTTTGGGGTGATTGATGACCGGGTTAAATAATTTGGGCCACGAGAGCGACTAGAATAGCTTAATTTTTATTTATTTATTTATTTATTTTATTTATTTTAATTTTTTTTGTTGTTGTTTAGAGAGCCACAAGGTCGGAGGTGAAAATCACTCCCAGAATCTCTTGAAATTGGGAAGAAAGCTCTAACCACTTGAGCTATCCCTCACTTCCTCAAAATAGCTTAAATATTGCATGCGCTAATATCACCAAACTTGTAAACATGTTAAGGTCTAACGTCTGTATCTACCGGTTGAAAGTTTGCTAAGCTGGTCACAATATTACTCAAGGCATGCATAAAAGCTCAGTAAAATTGTTTTGGATTTTGAGCTATGAACCATTTATTTGCCATAAGAGTGCTGAGAAATTTGTTGATAGTGGAAGGAGAAATGCATTAAAATAATTATAGTTTTTTTAAAAAAAAATTAAAAATAAATTCAAAATAGATTTGTAAAAAAAACTAAGGTGTTATTTGATTGACAAATAAAAACATGAGAAGTAGAAATTCCCATGAATTTCCATTTCCCACAAAATGGAGGAAGTAAATTACCTAGGGGGACCTAGGTAAGTGAAACTTCCCATGGGAATTTCCACTTCCCTTGGTTAATTAAACACTTTTTAGAATTTCCTAAAAAGTTCAATTTCATGGAAAATCAAATTTCCAAGGAATTTGCAATTTCTACATTCAACCAAACAAGTCCTAATTTAATACTTTCTACTCGTATGTTTTTTTATTATTTGGTACACTTGATTTTAACACATGAATTAAGGAAGGAGGTGTGAAAAATTAAGGAAAAAGACTATTATTCTCTTACCTACTCAAGATTGGGTAGGTAATGTGGGGTAGTAAAGGTAAAGTATGAATTGTACGTAACAAAATTTATTATAAAAAAATCGTGTCAGTTAAAAAGAAATTTTTCAAAAAGAAACATGTGTTAACTGAAAAAATGGAGGATGAGGAAGTATAAATAAAAGACGAGATTGTAAAAGTTAGAACAAGACGAGATTATGAAGTTAAGCTATATCATTTTATTTACTTTGTCCTAAATAACTAGCATCATTTGACTTACTCTACTTTCAACATATTCATAAATATATGAAAATATATATTTTTTTTGACATAGAAAATGAATGTTGTCGAGTTCATCCTTAATGTAAGAAGTTGTCGAGTTCATCCTTAATGTAAATTTTCAATACATTAACATCTTTCAATTGTAATAGCTTGTATGAAATACTTCGTACATAGAACAAGCAACAGAGCACTTCTTATTATTGATATAAATTTCATATCACCAAAATTTTAACTATTTCTCACCAAATATCTGAAAATTAACCATGAATATATTATATAGTAATATATGTACGACTGTACGAGGCACAAATAATGCGCATGCAATTAGGTTATTTTAACTTACAAGTCCCCTTGATTCCGTGAACCCTTGTACTTTCATGAGTTCAGAAATTTCAGAGCAAGAATAAAAGGAGGAAATCCGTGATCTGAATTAATGAACATGAATACATGATTTTCAATTAAGTCAAGAGTACGTTATTAATTTCGATGCTTGGTAGGTCAAGAATTTTGACCTTATATTTCCATATAATGATGGATTAACTACATATATTTGGAATATTATGTGTATTCTTCTATGTAACTTGTACCAGGTAAGTAGGTAACAAATCACGTTGACCTAATTAATTTATGACACTTAATTTTATCACTGTTGTAACTTGACAACCCAATTATTAACTTTAGTTGGCTTTTTAGACGAGAAGAATAAATCAAGCAATTTTCATATTTGATGGGTTACATGATTTTATATTTTGTTTTCCTAAAGTTTAAAAAATGAAAATAGATTGTGGTATAGCAATATTGAAGCAGAACAAAATCCTAACTTAATTAGGCCCTGTTATTTTTTTATTTTCTTTTGGAACAAAGTTGAATTGAGCTTTGTTGAACTAAACGGCTAAATTAAAGTGAAGTAGAAAAATCAACTAAGCTAAAGTGCTAAATTGAACTAAACTATACTAAAAATAAGTCCAAAAGAATAGGGTCTTAGCGGACAAATTTTTCTTACTCCGTATTACATAAGAATGTACACAAAGTAAAATGCAACTAGATTTCAAGTAACCATAAATGTAAACTCTAACTTAAGGTGACAATATTTGATCGAGAAAGTAATGATTTCAAATGATTTTTAGATGCAAAATGTAGCACATGTAATTTTTTGATTTACACAAAATTTTAGCTAATCACCAAATTTTGGATTCCACTCATCTTGCATAAAGGCCGACCCAATATAGCCTGAAGCCCAATCCAACTTTGCATTACAGCTCAAAGGTCTAATATATGTGGTTCAAGTGTTCAACCTAGCAATTATTGTTATTGTTAGGAAAAATTACCCTAATCAGGTCTTAATCATCACGATATTTTTGGTTCAATATCCGTGCACCAAACACATTGAGGTGAAGGCAAGAGTAAGAGGTCCTCACCTCTACATACCGCATTTAAAAGTGTTACAAAGTAAATCTCTAACCAACTACACCAAGTCTTGCTTGGTGCCTCGGCCTAGCCTATTATCGACTCAAAGTCTTTGCTACAACTAACATCAAATAGTGTGATGCAGGCAGGATCACAATTCACAACAATAAAAACCACAAACTATTTTTTACACGTCAAACAGCCTGGTGAACAGCAAGATACTCTAACCTTAGCAAATCATATTTGAGCTAAAAAAAAGGACAATGAAATTGAAGATTTGGCGCAAATTCAAAGTTTTATACCCTCCAAAACAGCTAAGCCAATTATACGTGTATATTTCAAAGCTTAAAAAATTACAAAAGTTAAAGGAAGTCGTAGTAAAAGTATGACTCACGGTTCCCTGTACGACTTTTTCTACTTTACTTACCCACCACTACTAATCAAATTTCTCATCTTACTTTAACAAATTTAGGTACATTAATTTTTGTAATTTTACTTTGATTAACGGTTTAAGTATCTTTGATTAGAGGGATTTTTTTTTTTAAGTCTTTTGAGGCTTGTGAATCTGAAACCACTAGTACAACATCATACTAGAAAGTAGAAACTAGTTACTCATTTATTTTTGTATCCCTAGGTCGACAATTATTACAAACTTTGCTTATATGAGTCTCTATAAATAATGAAAAGTCACATTGCACTCCATATTCATGAATCTATTTCCAAATACTCCGAGTTTCTTTCGTTGTTTTTTTAAATCAAATCAGATCAATTGAACTGTTAAAAAATAAATTGGACTCAAAATACAAAGATCGCATTTTTATTTGTGATTGAATTTGAGTTGATTAGTAGAGCCAAAACCAAAGTGAAGACTAAGCTTTCACCCTAGTGTAGATACCGAAAGTTTCATGCATATATAGTGAATTATGTCCAGAAAGAATATGTTTTATACTCTATCACGCCCCCTCACACGAGAGCTCGTTAAGTTTGAAGTGTAGATGTAGTATGAATGCACCTCATACCCTGCGCTTAATATTCCACTCTAAAAAGAGAGGATACCATATTAGAAGATCAACTCAACCAAAAGCTTAAGCTGGTGGTTAAAGCCCAGAAATATGTTTTATACTCTATCAAAAAAACAAAGAAAACTCTTATAAATGACTCCGATCCGTATTAAAATAGAAAGAGAAATAGAAAAAGAAAATGGAGGTTACAACTTAACAATTAAAATTTGAGAAAGCTGATTGTAAGCCTACAACTGCGTTGACCAATAGTAGTCATGATTCTAATACATTTATTAAGATAATTAAAAGAGATATAATAGCATATAATTACTCCCAAATTTTATAGGATAATAATTTCCTCAAATTTAAATTAAAACCAACTATCGAATTCATACCAAGGGACTTAGTATCCCTAACCTAACTAGTTTTCCTTGATTAAGAAAGAAAACAACAACAAAATTTAGGGGAAAAAAAAAAAATCTAACAAAATACCTTGATTAATTAAGAAAGAATGAGATTATACTACGTATTACTCTAATTAGCACAAAACTGGTTACTCACATAATTACATAAGAAACATGTTCAAAGGGGAAAATACCCGTACGTCTTCTTTTCGAGCTCGAAGTTTGAATGTTAATTTTCCTCCGATATTATGTTACAAACAAATTTTACAACTCCGATCCGCATCAATCATATAAGGGGAAAAAAAAAATCGTCAAATTATCATACATATAGAGGTAATAAAGCTTTTTTACATAGAAACAAAAAAAAAGGAACAAAAAATACTACTCATATTACTAAAACTGTTATTTAAATCTAGCAAACATAATTTGATCCTACAATTAATAGCATTCCCTCCCCCAACTACAAACATATACTTAATTAAAAAAAATAGGTCAGTCCAAATAATAATATTTCTACCAGAAACAAGGAGGAAGACTAACATTAGATCTATGAAAAAGCTCATACTTAAAATTCTTACAAAATTTACTATTTTTATAATTGGTATTATTATTGTAGTAATAATACTGATTAAGGAGCTTAAACAACCTTCTTCTTTTATTATAAAGAGCAAACCTAAGACCGGACCAAATCACTTTAGGAAGTCTCCGAGCCGACTTAGCGCGAACCCAAACAAGTCTTTTAACCCGAACCAATGATCTCTTGAGCCTTTCACCCAAACTTTGCTTCCTACTAAATTGGTAGCTTCTAAGGAAGAGTTGCCTTTTTTCTAAGTAGTTGGTTTGGAGTTCACCATTGGTTTGGTACCAGGTTCCGGATTCGGTTCGGAATATTGGAGCTAAATGGGTCATGGTTTTTTCTACCATGAAAATATGAGGGAAAAAAAATGGAGGATTAATTTTTAGGAGAAGAAGAAGAAAGAAGAAGTTATGAAGAAGAGGAACAACATGAATTTATTGGTGGGGAGGAATGGAGAGTATATATTTATTATGGGGATGTGTGTCTTTTTATATGGGATAGTTGAGGAGTTATAATAAAGTCGATTTTTAATTAATATTATTTTGATTTATTTTTTTATAGAAATAAAATCTTGGAAGATTTTTTTATTAATATTTTATAAGGGTATTTTTTTTTCATTTTCTTGCTGTTTTTCTTATTGTGAATTTTTCACCAGAGTTAGTAAAATTGAAATATTACATGATAAATTAATCAGTATTAATTTCTATAAATAAAAATGGTTTCTCATGAATATTCGATTCATTACAGATACTCCATATTATTTTTTGGAGAGAATAAGAACTAGTAATTTATCTTCATAAATCAATTTAATTTTATAGTAGTATTTTAGAAAGTAAAAGTACGTTAATTAAAATAAAAATATAAATAATAAAATCATTTTTTGAATATACTAAAAAAAAAGGAAAAATATTATAGGTCGCGAGGCTATGAAATATATTTTTATATTTTATTTTTATTGATTGTTGTTATATACTCCTTATTTATTTACAAGTATTTATTTATCTCAGAGGGGAGGTGGGGTTACTTGGAAGAGAATATAAATAGGGGTTGGGAATCGGAGAGGATTTAGGGGGGTTTTAAAGACTATTTAATTTAATGGAGTTTACGAAGTAGAAGTGTTTTTTATTAAACTTTTAATGTGGTATGGGATGGTTGATGGTACACATGGGTAGCTAGGAGAAAATAAAGCCAAAAATTGACTTCTTTATCCATACGTTTTCCTACTTTTCTTTCATTTTTAATTTAGAGGGGTCTTATTACTAATTTAGGTTGTAGCCACCTTTATCATGACTAACATACTCAAAGTTGTATTTCTTGATATGTAAGTTAAGAGTTTTGTCAAATCATTTAGCTAATTTTGGTTATAAGTCACATAGTATGGATAATGATGCATAAAAATTAGAATTGATGTACTTCTACTATCAATTAAGTGTAAATAGTTCAATTTTACGTATGTATCAGCGCTATTGTTTATATGTGACTCTCTTAGTATATGGGTTGTTTAGGACAATCTCCAACTCGATCGGCTAAACAATTACATAAACCAATATGGGTTTTTTCTATATAGTATTGAAAACGACTAAAATCGATCGATAAAGTTGTACTTCTATCCAAATTTAAAAGTTGGTGAAAACGAATTTCCACTCGCAACCATTTTCTTTATGGCTTTAATTACTTACATGATTTGAGATGGAGATCTCATCTTTTTAAGTAGTTTTATCTTGAAAATCCATACTAAATTTATTTATTTATTTATTTTTTGGGAAAAGTGGTGTGTGATAAGATTAAACAACACAAGCAAATGTCATATTTTCTACGTTAATTATAACGACCATGTACGTGGGGCAAATGGATTCACGTGCCTTACGTTGATTAGTTACAATTCTTTTCGCTTTCAACCTAAATGCACAGTAAATGTCTTTTATTGTACGTAGTAATTATAACATGACCTTCTAAAAGTTGACAAAATCACACCCAATCTGACCTGATTCGAAACCAATCTGAAAAATATTCTATTCTAATTATCATGGCTCAAGTTTAAAATAGACCTGATTCGAAACCGACCTGAAAAATATTTCATTCTAATTATCATGGCTCGAGTTTAAAATAGACTTGAGTCGAAACCAACCTGAAAAATATTCCATTCTAATTATTATGGCTCAAGTTTAAAATAGACCTGATCCAACCCAATCTTACTAAACCCAACCCAAACACTCGAATTGACACCTCTACTCCTATTGCATGCGTCTATTTATGTTACATACTCTTATAGTCTTATGCAACAAAATTTCAACTTTTGATGATAATAAAAATCTTTTGATACAAGAATCTATCTATATATACTATATATTAAAAGGCGTTTCTAAACAAGCTTACATGCCACGTGGCGCCTTCCTCAGTTCCTAAACAAGCTTACATGTCACATAGAACCCTCCTCAATTAATCGAGTCTTCATTTCACGTGCTTTAAAATGTAAATTGTACAAGATTTGAACCTACAACCTTTACTTTAAAAACTAAAGTGTTAGCCACTAAACTATCACCACATTAGATGTCATTATACCAAAATTAAATGTAAATAAAGATTTCAATCATGGAATTAATGCAGTAACTCGGGGCATTGCCTGGACCTAAAAACTAGTTAGTATTGAAAAGCATGCGATACAACTTTTTTCCTAAAAGAGAAGTTACAAAAGCCGAAAAAATGTAGATACGTCTTGAATACAATTGGCATGTATAAACTTCATCATGTCAAATTAATTCGGTTTATTTAGGGTAATTAAATTGACAATTGAGTAGCACTGAAGTTCTATAGGAAATAAAAGCTCCTTGTTTTTAGTCAAAGAGGTTACTTGCATTGTATGTACAATCAACCCATGCATAGTAGTAAAACATTTACAAATGACGAGATTGGCTTGTTTATTTGTATCATACAAATATGCAATGAGATGTAAGAAAGAAGATGCATCTTTAAGCAAACCTAGAAAAACTAAATAGTTGACTTAAATTATTAATGTTTTTATTTGACTTAAAATTGAAGTAGAGTTAAAATTACAAGATTAGTTTAAACTCGAATGAAAATTAACCTTTTATATGACTAGAAAATTAAAGCAATTAACATTATTCCAATACTCCGTAACTTACTTTTCATAGTATGTATGAATTCAGAATCACTGGTTCAATCACACGGTCCATATATGCTACTTAATTGACAAATGAGCCGAAGACAACCACCTATACCGTACCATCACAGTACATAACAAACAGTACAATTTGATCACAATCAAATAAATCATACGATCCTAACGACTCATTTGCCACATCTTAGCCGTATTCAATATTTCTGTTGTGTAAACTACTACCAGACTAGTTTTGATAAAATTATACGTAGTACTACCACAAGGGTATTAAAAAGCATATATGGACCGTGTGATTGAACCAGTAGAGAGAGAAAGTAATAAAAGTATATAGAAAAAGCAAAAGTTGCATGGGGAAGCTAATTTTGCACAAATATTATTGCAAATCAAAGGGTATTAAAATGCAAATGGGGCGATCATTTTGGGACTAAAATTAGGCCAAAAGGGTCGAAGTTTCGGGGACGGAGGGAGTACAATTTTCAAGAGTGTATTTAATGCTTATATGAGGGCTGCATATAGTATTACCCAAAAGAAAAAGGGTTTGATTAGCTACTAAGTACAGTATTGTGGCGGCTGTCAAGGCTTGGTAATGAAATCTACGAATTAATAATATTTTTGTGACCTGGATTTTATACGGAAAGTATAATACACTGCTTACTGCCCATAATTTGGCATGTAAGTTTTACTAAAATATAATTTGAGCAGATCAAATGAGAACAAAGTAAGTGATGTAAATGTCTTCTTTTAATTATTGATGCCTTATCTTATTCCCAAATTATTTTAAAAATATATATTGCATCAACAAAAAAAATTATTGGCCAATAAATGTTATTGGTACAAATATTAAACTTGTATTCATAAAACAACAAAAATTGATGTCTTATTTACTCATAAATTGTATCTCAATTATATTGTCAACTCGATTATAATATTTAGTGTAATCTTAATTAATTAACTCAATTTAACACCCTATTTTGTTCACCTGATGATTTTTAATTTATTTATGTGAGTGTTGCAAGTTGTTACAATGTACTATCTACAATATCATCTTGATTTTATATAGCTAGCATCATATATTTTCTCCGTCCTTTTTTATCTACTCCATTATGGTGTAATAATTTGCCTTTTCAATTTTAATTAAAAGTTACTGTAAATATATATATTTGCTTATGATCGGAGAGAATGAACATTGACTAGTGGTTGATTCCCATAATCAGTAGATGAGAGAATCCGTCATTATAACTTTGAAATAAAAAATTTCCAATGATCCAAAAATAATTGATTTATGTTGGAATTTACCCGCATTTGTTTGGAAACACTTATCCTTGATGAAACAGATTTATAAATCGTTTTCACTCAAAAGCAAGAACTAAAATGATATTCATGAATGCTCACACTTTTAAGGGTGTACTCATATTAACATAATTTTCACTTATTAGATTTTATTTTTCTAAAATAAGATGAACGTAAAATGAACTCCATATATAGTCTTATAAAAAGAAAGATTATTGAAAATCTATTATTACTGCGTATATATATATATATATATATATATATATATATATATATATATATATATATATGTTACATCATACATCAAATGAACATAGATAGTTTAAATTGAAACTAATTAAAGCTGATCATATTTTAAATTTTATATCAGGCTCTTGTAGAAATGTAGAATTATAGCAGTACACCATATTTTAGTGTAGTTAATTATAATCATGAACACTCAATTAATTCAAAATGAGAACCTAACATATACAGTAATTTAAATTCAAGTTCATTTATTTTCATTAATCTTGACCACATTTCTGAAGTTACCAAAAGGTGTGAATGTCTGACGGCTTTAAAATTTGAGAGGATAAGCATTTCTTACCTACTCAGTTAGGTTCCTATAGTCAACTCTCATTTTCTAATTATAATCTCCTTTGTACAACTAATATAGTACTTGTATATAAAGTTGATGCATGTGAAATGGAACTAACCAACCATATCATATATGCGCACCTTTTATTTACTGTTGAGGACTAAGATAGCTATTTTTTTTTATATGGCTGTCACTTTTGAATTACATTAGATTTTCAGAAAATGTTAACTAGATAGCATGTTTTATCAAAACAAATTGTTAGAATATTCTTTCAATAATATGACAAGTCACTTTAAAATCAAGTGATCGCTGATTCACTGTTTCTCAAAATGTTATGAAGTAAATGATTCATACTCCGTATAAGTTTTGTTTTCATTATAAGTATAGTATCATGAACAGATTAACGAGATTAAGTTAATAAACTAGATATGTGAGTTAGTATACGTAATGCATGGCACTTAAAAGTCGGACGAGCAAGAGAAAGTAAAAGGAGAGACATAGGTAACCTTATCTAGGAAATAGAATATGTAGATATACATACATACGATGATACTAAGCAACTCAATTGCGTGAACGAAAAACTCATGTAACTATCTTTAGCATTACGTGATAAAATCATAAAAGGGCCTTTCTTGAGATATCTTTCTTTAATTTATAGTTGTTATGTAAGTTTCCAACCAAACTAATAATTCAAAATACATGCAATAAGGTCATGTATATATCATAAAAAAAGCT